TCTTGGAGCAAACAGTGACACTATCAAGGCCAGGGATATAAAAGTGCTGCACCTATAGCACTGTTGGTATCAAAGCTGCTTTGAGTCTTTGGCATCTGTTGATTGGTTGTTCTGCTGCATCATTTATTACAGGCTTTCTTCTGAACACAGCCAGTCATATACTTAACGGAGGTTCCACTGACCATAGTCCAGTCCAAGTGTGGATCCAGAGCAGCAGGACGGTGACCTCATCAGAGTACAGATATGACCATCCTTGAATCAAATCCACCTGTCCACAACAAGTAGACTGGAAATCTGCGAGTCCCAGAGGAGGCAGACCCTGGACGGTTCACCTGTCCATCACTGGGTCACACACTGAAACAACACCATTCACATTCACCTTAACACCTACACTCAATTTAGAGAGAATAATTTGGTTGTGCGCCCTCTGGAGGAAGTACATTATCAGCTCTGCTCCCCATTCATGGCAATGCAAACGTGCCCCTTCACAGTGTGTAAATGACAGGTGTTTAGGTGGCACATGTGATAAATTCCTCACATTCTTGACTTTGCCAATGTCTCCAGAGACAGAATTGCCTCAGATTCATCGATCTTCTTGGTAAAAACGACCTATTCTTGACTTTGCCAATGTCTCCAGAGAGAGAATTGCCTCAGATTCATCGTTCTTGGTAAAAACGACCATTAATTGCCCTCAAATGGAGTGAGGTGACAGAGCGTGACCCAGAATGCATTTGGGGTCCTCGCCTCCACTGTGAGCCAGGGCGTGGAGATTTAACACTCTGACGACATCGCTCCACTCCTGCTAATGTGATTTAGTGAGATTAACACTGAGGTTCCACAGGCAGCTACGATGGTCACTGGATGGAGCTTCTTCATCTGCTCATCCTTTGTTGCTGACTGTTGATGACTTTGGAGACATGAAATTGATTCACATCCTGAATTAAGCACGGTATCATCATCAAACGGCCTATGAGAGGGTTGAACCTCAGTAGTTTACAACACGTGCGATTCCCGCAGAGGGGTCAAGAAGACGCCCCAGATTTAAAAGGAAGAGAAGAAGCGTGAAGCGTGGGAGTGATGATATGAAGCAGACGTTCACGTACAACCAATCTGTAGAACGGGGGGGGGGGGGGGGGGGTAACTGGGATGGATTTCCTCCTGGGGTCTAGTATCTTAGAGACCTCTGCCATTAAGCACAACACTGAGAGATTTGGTTGCCATGGTGGCAAGGTGGTTGAAGTCTTTGTCCTCGAAGGAAGAGGGTGAGAGAGAGAGAGAGAGAGAGAAGTGAAGAAAATTCCCTGATGGGAAATATATGATCTCTAATGAAATGATGAAGGCACAGAGGAGGAAGAGGAGTGCTGCCACAATTGTAACTGTGAAATGTAAAGTCGTTGAGTTGAGGAAACTGAAGTACAAGGTCAAAGACAACGTGAACACAACGCTGTAAGAATGCTGCCATCCTGCTATAGAAGCTACAGATATCAATGTCAATGACCAGTGGAATAGAAATAGATGACATGCATTTACCTCGAGGTTATTGTTGTTACTGCTAACAAAAAACATTTGGTCTGGGCCAGACAAGAGCCATCAAAGGTAGACTGGCCTATCAGCTGTTTATCTGGTCCATAAAGAACAACCATGGTCAAGGCTGAGAAGTGAAACTTGTACTTTATATTTGGGAAGCATAACCAGATAACCAAATCTGTTATGCAGATGACATGATGTTTTTTAATTGAATTTTGTAAAACCTTTTCCAAATCAGTTTGAGTCCATCTAGGTCTGACTTTCCCAAATTATCTGTGATAGAACATTTGGGTTAAGGGTCATAGTTAAGTTTAGTGTTTGCTTTAGAGTTTTGAAGAATGTGTTTTCTGTCATCCAACAATCCATCCATCCATCCATCCATCCACCCAACACAAAAAATTAAACTTTCAGAGGAACAGGAAGGGTATAAAGTTTTCCAAAGTAGGAAAACCTCAGGGTTGTCAAAATCCAAGCTCCTTCAGAGCCTTTCAACTCACTGCACTGCACTTGAGTATCATCACAATGAATCATCACTGATGCTTCTGCAACTTCAGCACTGACACAAACTCAGAACTTCCACCTAGTATCGTCTGACAGATCCACTCAGAACTACCTGGGTGATATTCAAAACAATACTAATTCCAAGTTTTTAGGTGTAAATTAATGCAAGAAACACCAGAAAGAAAACCAATCACAATCTAGAAAAGCCCACTATTAAAACTCCAGGAGTACAGCTACAGCAAATCTATCCTGCAAAATGCAAAATTCACTACATGCACTAAAACCTGTGGGGCAGTAAAAAATGTCATTTTTAAGGATTTAGGAGAAACACCCTGAGGCTTCAAACGATGTCCATCCTCGCGGCTACTGCTGCGGCTTCTGCCAGCTCCCAGCTCTGAGCCATCTGTCGCACTTCTGAAGGCAGCGGCAGCAGGTTCACATGACAGGTCAGGAAGAAGCAGGTGACGAGGTGGGAGCCAAAGGCTGAACAGTGGAACCAGGATCTCCTGATCCACTGACTGGTTTAAAAAATTTGACACAGTAAAAGGTCATCATGGTTTGAAATGACGGTTTGATGGGTTTGAAACGTTCAAACCCTCCTGTGATTTTTCCATCAGTTTCAAGATCGACTGCAATGATCTGCGTTAATCACACCACCATCTGGAGATGATTGGACCATGGCTCTGTAAAATGACTTTTTGGGAGACAATTTAAAGAACAATAAAGACAGCAAAGGGAGGAAAATGTGTTCCACCATCAACTATTTTGGTTCCTCATGGAAACAAGGAGACTCCATCGCTACGCCTCACACTCAGTGTGGGTGTATGACTTCATATTAAATATTAGTAAAAGTCGGCACATTTTACCCTGGATGCTGAACTGTGGAGGTGAACGCTGCCATTGCAGAGGCGTTGTTTAAAAAAAAATTTAAAAAAATCAGCTCTGGCTTCTGAGGACTTTGTCTTTCTGCCCACGAGTACTGGGCAACAAAAATAGCATCATGTCAGGCAGAGTACACACACACACTCACACTCACACACACACTACAGCCCTGTGTCTGTGCTTCACATTTCTAGAACCATTTTATGCTGCCAAAGATCAGAGTTAAGTACAGAGAGAGAGGAAGTCTTCTGATGGCCGTCAGGACTGAACCTGACAGGAGGTTTTAACCTGCACAGTTGGCACATTTTTTTTGCAAATTTCAAAGAGATTTATATTATATATATATTGAAATAAAAAAAGATAACAGCCCTTTACTGTTGACGTTTCACCTATGTGACTGACAACATTACCAACTTCACAACCTTTGTTGTAGTTTGTTGTGTTTTGCAGCCATAGAAAAACCACATGGGATTGGATTTCATTCTGGTCAGCTGACAGAACGTAGACAACAAATAAGGCGGACGCTAATCCATACTGTACTACACACAAAAGAAATATATATATATGGGGTAATGTACAGTCTTTTGTGTGAAGCATCCTGACCATAAGGAGTATGTGTGGAGTATCAGAAAGTCCTCAAATGCTCCTGTAATTTCCAACATTTAGAATAAAAAAAATTCAACTTTACAAAGTCCAGCTTTAGTCAGACTAACTCAATAATGTTGCAGTTTTCTCTAAAGTGATTCAATGCACTGTGACACAGTCAGCAGGTGTCGTGTTGAAACCAGGAAACACAGATGTTATGAACGCAGTTCTCTGTTGATCAGATAGGTCTGGTACTGCTGCTGCTGCTGCTGCTGTTACTCCACTCGTGAAGTGAATTACAAACAGCGCAGCCTCCTGACACTCCGGTGCAACAAGCACAGTCAAGTTTGCAGATGTGCGTGTTATTTATCCAGCTCGCAGTGAAGTTGCTGGAGTCTGAACTTGGCCTTTTACAATTGTGCCGGCCTTGAATATAAAAACGTCATGTCCTCGTGGAGTTAAATGTTAAATCCTTGGTTCAACATATTGTAAAGAACAGACTGACGTGTCGAAGCTTCCAGCCGAGCTGATAAGACAGCAGATTTTTTATTATTTTTTTTGGACTTGTTACTCAGCTTAAACGATACAGCTTCTTCATAGCAGCTACAGAGACAGTTTCACTGTCATTCTGCTCAGAAACTGTGTGATTGATGGTCACATGTGATGTTTACTTCAGTGTTAACCCTAACCAGAGGAAAACCAACCTCTAACCACTCTGTCCAGACCATCGACATCCTGACCTTAAACAGAACCAAATGGAAACTAGTTCCTACATCTTTAACACCAGGTTCAGG